TATATAATATATATATATATATATATATATATATATATATATATATATATATATATATATATATATATATATATAATCACACACACACACACACACAGTAATACCCGCTTTATGCATTTTTTTTACGTGTTTCTACATTTACGCGGTACCCTGCCAGAACCGGAATTCCCACTTTACGCGGTGCATCTACTCATATACGCGGGTGAAGTGTAATTTTTTTTATTTAGCTCATAAAATTCATACAAATTACCCAGCCAGAATATAATTTACATTGCTGGAATTCTTACAATTTGATGATCATTTTGAATATAAGCATCATAGATTTTGCATTAGACATACAAATTTTAGATCTAATGCAAGTATTTTGTTTACTCAGAGCAAATATGTTATCTTTTGTGCAAAATATATGATGTGTATATTGAAAATATTCCTGGTCTTGCAAGGAATCCAGCAATGTCAATTATATTATCCTATCTTTAGTTTGAGGTATTATTTATTACTATACCATAAAATCTAGTGTTTTCCCCCAAACATTTCTCAGAGAGGGAAGAGCCAGCGAGTGAGAGAAGAGGGGGAGGGAGTTGAGTCCATTATTTGAATGGACATTAACTTGGCGACTGTATTTCTCTATTTCTCTTAAATATTAATTGTGTTCCTGTACCATCATAAAATTAAGATGTTATTTTTACTAGAACATAGGTATTGTGTCGGGAAAAAGTGGAGTTTGTGGGTCAGCCCAGTCTCTATTTCAATTAATCCCATATGTTATGTTGTTCACTTTACGCGTTTCTCTCACTTTACGTGGGCCTCCGCGGGTTCAATTGACCACGTAAAGTGAGGGTTCAATGTATATATATATATATATATATATATATACAATCAACCCTAGCTTTACGCGGTCCCACTTTACGCGTTTCCACGTTTACGCGGTACCCTGCCGAAACCGGAATGTTCACTTTCCGCGGTGCGTGTACCCCTTTAAGCGGAGAGCAGCTGGCGGTCCTCTCGCGCCGCGCCATTTTTGGATGCAAACCACCCGCCATATCTCCCGCCCTCTCCCGCCATGTTGTGTAAGCGGCCCGAGTAGGTTGCGCAGTGTATGTCTTTGTTGCGTTATCGGTGACGTCATATGACGTAGCGGACTGTGATTGGGCAAAGCATCCTTACCTCCCTCCCTGCTAGCTGTGATTGGTTTAATGTAGTACTATGACGTGCCCCGCCGCGGGAGCGTTCAACCCCTCGACCTACCGTGTGAGTTACACCCCTCCAGGCTGCACCGTGTACATCGATATCCATTGTTCCATAAGAATGGCTTCCACCGGAACACCACCACCACCACAACAAAGAAACCTTGCATTACCTGGACCCAGCCGCCCTAAGCCAAAGAAGACACGATGTTCCTTAAGCTACGAAATTAAATACAAGATCATCCAAGAGTTGGAGAAAGGAACAAGATAGGTTGATCTCGCGCGCCAGGATGTTGTTAACGAGTCTACGATCAGGACAATTAAGAAGGATGCAGCAAAGATAAAGGAGCACATGAACATCACAAAGTCTACAGGTGCTTCTATGATCAAGTATTGCCACAACCAGGTGCTTCTCAAGACGGAGAAATTACTTGTGAGCTACTTGGTTCGTCAGGCGCGACAGAACATGGCTGTGGACACGCGATCAGTTAAGGAGTACGCACGTGAACTGTATGCTGCAGTGTCACGTAAGATGGGTGGTTGCAGAGATTTAAGAAGAGGAACAAGATCACCAACATTAACATTGGTGGTGAAGAAGCTAGTGCTGACCGTGTTGCGGCTAGGGAATTTCCTCCGTTTTTACGTGAGATTATGGAGGAAGGACAGTACACCGACGACCAGGTGTTTAACATGGACGAATCTGGTCTTTTTTGGAAAAAAGCTACCTTCCAAGACCTTCGTTGTGAAGAATGCCAGCAAGTGTCGGGGCTGGAAGTTGCAGAAGGAGCGCATCACCGTCCTGTTTACCACCAATGCCTCCGGTACCTGTAAGCTCAAGTTATTGGTGATCCACACAGCATGCAAGCCGCACGCCTACAAGAGCATGGACATGACCAAGCTAAATGTCCACTGGCTGATCGCACGTAAGGTGTGGATGTTCTCTACTCTGTCCCTCTCCTGGTTTGATGACTGTTTCGTTCCTGACGTGAAGAAATTCTGTGAGGAACACAATGTTCCATTCAAGATTTTGTTGCTGCTTGACAACGCACCAGGACACTCGCCCTTACTGTTAGATCGTCACCCCAACGTAAAAGTGGTCTTCCTTCCTCCCAAAACTACGTCATTAATACAGCCCATGGGCCAAAAATTGATTTGTAATGTGAAAGCTGCATTCTCTGCAAAGAAATTTAAACTCCTGAACGACTACACCAGCACCAAGGATGAGTTGCGTAACCTGGGTGACACCGATAGCAAGAGTGAAGACAACGAGGAACAACAGTTGGTAGAGCAAGAAGTACTTGTGAGACAATTTTGAAGAAAATTCAACGTCAAGAAAGCTGTGGACTTCTTGGTGGAGGCATGGGATCAGCTGTCTGTAGCAACTTTTCGTCATGCATGGAGACATGTGATGCAAGGCATTCCAGGTGGGAGGCAGAGTAAATCTGTGACTAGTGAGGTTCAGACTGTTGCAGTAGCAGTTGACCTTGCCAGAGAAGCTGCGCAGAGTGTTACAGCTGCAGGCTTCTCCGAGACCACCAACGACGACATCCTGGAGGTGATAAGGGACCCTGATGTGACTGCCGACGAGATGGTAGATGATGATGACGTCAGTGAAGAGACAGGTGGTGCGTCATCCCAAGAAGAACGCCAATTATCCCATAGTAATGTAAGGGGTGCCATCGAGTGTGTTGAGAAACTCAAGCTCCTCCTTTCCGACAACCCTGACGATAACCGGTATGAAGTCTTCCCTACCCAGCTGTTGCAGACTATGGAGCCCTACATCAAGGTGTATCACGACAACATCAACACCAACTGTCAGCAAAGCATTACCGAGTTCTTCGCCCACAACCCACCATAGCCAGCCCAAGCCAGTGATAGTGACAGAGACAGTGATGATGACTTTGAGGGATTTGTCAGGGAGGCACTAGCAAGTGTGGATGACAGTGATGAAGACATGATACAGGTGATTAATTTTTATCTCTTGTGCAAAATACATGACGTTTATATTAAAATTATTCACTGTTTTACAAGGATTCCAGCAACGCCGGGCACATGGGGGAGAGAGAGGGTGGGAGCGAGCGAGGGGGCATGGGGGGAGGGGAGGTAGTACGTTTGACAGTTGGCACAGGTCCAGGTCTAACGCGTGTATTATTATCAGTTCTTATTGACTAAACTTCTCTCTTATAAAGAGCCAGTGAAATGACCTGGGTGAATATAATTAACATTGCTGGGATTCTTGTAACATACAGATTAATTTGAATATAAACATGCTATAATTTGCACTAGACAAAACAATTTTAGTACCGTAATCAAATTAGTACATGTGCACTCCAGCTTTGCACTAAGGTCATTAATTTCTATTACGTTTCTTTTAGTATGGTGTGTGCATGTAAATGGTGAAAATAAATGAAGAAATCTATGTAAATCTACCCAAAAATACAGTTGAAAAACTTTTTTATAAAATGTACTACAGTACTGTACACTAATGTACATCAATTTTTATCTCTTGAGCAAAATATATGATGTTTATATTCAAATGCTTTCAAATCATTTTTAACCTTGGGCCACCGACAAATAAATTTATGTAACATATTATCAGTTTTGTACTGACCATCACTAAGGTTTATGGAATTTAATTCCCTAATCAAACTAGCTTCAACCAGAAGTCTTTCTGTGACACATGATGATTTGTACACTTCTAACCTGTTTTCCCAATCAATGGGGTGATTATTATTCCTAACATGAACGAACAGTGCACTGCTTTCAGATGCCGTTCTGATATTGTACTTGTGCTGTTTGATTCTGAGTTGCAATGCTTTCTCAGTCTGTCCTACATAATTCCGTTACAATTGCTACATGGAATACAATAAACACTTCCATTTACATTCAAAGTTGGGCTATTCTTGATTAATATATTGGTAATGGTTGATTCATACTTAAAAACAACATTAATATTTAATAATTTAAGGGACTGAGCTAACGGGACAAATTCATTGCTGATGGGCTAGTCTGCCAATTCAGTAGTACAGTAATCTGTTCTTATGTTTACATTCGTTTTCAGTGGAGTAAATATCAATAAAGTTGTGTTCTTTAATATTTTAAATTTTTTATATTAAATTATTAATCATTTTAAAATTTAGTTAACATATTGATAATATATGCAGGACAGGGAACTAGTTTTTGTACGCCCATCAGCCGCTTGACTCACCCACCAGGCGTCAGTGTGGCTTTGTTTACAGTGGAGTGAACATCAATGTTGTTGGTGTCATGAATATTTTTGCATTTTTACATTAAAATTATTGGTCATTCTGAAATTTAGTTAACATATTGATAATATTAGCGCAGTGCAGTGTTAATTTAAATAAAATAATCTTGAATTACACCTACTAAACTTAAAATTTTATTGGTGAAATTACTGCATCAAGCATGGGTCCCCTGAATGGTGATTTCTCCTCCATCGTCACTTCCTTCTCTTCTCCTTTCTCCTGCACCCCCACTTCTAATTCCCATCATCATCAACCAGGAACCTTCTACATACACACCTCAAAGTAAGTATACTTGACTGCATTTTTTTTTTCACTTTGCATGTACTTTTCTGTGAGCTGGAACCAATTACCCAATATCCCATTGAAACAATGGATTTGGTTTGCAAAATTTTCGGTTAACGAACGACTCTGTGGAACAAATTGTGTTCATTAACTGAGGGACCATTGAGCAGTATTACAGTCTACATTATCCTTTTAGCTGCATTTAACTATAATTTAACATTTCCCGGTCCCTTTCTTTCATAAAAATATGCCTTCATTTTCTTACCTGCCGATGTCTTGCTCTGAAATCTGGGGTACCATCCAATATGGCACTAACAGCATGGGACAAGAGAAGAGACACCTCTCTCTGAGTGTCTTGCCATACCTCCAATAAGTCACTCACTATCACTAAAGTTTTGGCCAGTTTGCTTGCTTCTGTCTCAAAGGGACGACAGTATCTATAGAGAAATGCAAGATGTAAATTTTTAGTAATGAAAAATTTTAACAAGTACAAAGGAAGTTTTGAATAAGCAATACTTAGTTGTTGCCCATGAGACAGTGTTTACCAGAGTTAGCCTCAATTATATAGACAGTCATTCTGCCAGCAGACTATACCAAGAGAAAAATCAAACTGCATAGTACTATATTATGTATGAAACAGTGCACACAGAGATTCTAAGATGCTATACTATTCTTAGTTTGTTTAAAAAATTCTTCTCATGGCCACTTATCCTTTATGCTTCAATATACTGTACAATGGGGTCTCATTTTACGTGGGTCTCGCATGTGTGGTTATCGCTGATGCGATTGGTTGAAGTGTGACCATAGTTATAGCTTAAGCAGAAAGCCATAGGTCTTGAAGGAAGTAGTATAGTGTTAATTTAGTGCTCTTTTGCTTATTTAGCTCCAAATTTAGCGATATTAGTAATTTTAGTTACTGGACATTATAAGCGCGTACCATAAGTAATACAGATACAGTACTACCCCAGATGCTTTCCTGAATGTATCTGGTGCGATCCAAAACAGCATTCTAAGGGGTCATTATACCACTGCATATACTGTATGGAGATGAGTTTCTGATGACGTTATTTTTTTACCTATGAGATATATACTGTATTGTACAATATTGCATGTATTGTATTAATAAGCACAAATTACAAATAAACAACATTTTATCATTAATGACAGTCGTTTGATGAATAGTAGCGGTAGAACGAGTGTGAGAGGCAGCATGTGTGTCAGTGAGATTCCGCTAATCTGCTAACCACTAATTAGGGAAGCTAACTTACTCGTTAGCGGATTAGCATTTTCGCTAAATTTGGAAACCATTAGCGGACCAATTAGCTTCCGCTAAATTTAGTTCCTCTAACTTTAACTCCGCTAACAAAATTTATGCATGTTTGTTCCTGTCTGTTGTAAGCGTGTGACGCCGCGACGCGTGTCTCCAACAGCCAGTCAGGCAATCTTGGCTGACTGCGTGTTAGTACAGTACGTGTAAACGTGACAAGACTGCTAGTGTATGTTGAAAGAATCATAGAATGTAATTGTAAACTAATGTATAATTTCATTTCACATTTATTTGTTAATTTAATCAGGATTTTTTTGTGTCAATATATTTGGTTATGACTGCATAAGTTCATAACCAGGATGTCATCCAAGGTGTGCGCCAAACAAGATTTTCTTAAAACTTACTTTTCATTAAAGTTTAGAGTTTTCTGTTTATTTACAATAAGTTATATAAAAATGCACTGGTATAATGTGTATGTGGTTGGTATTGCATATTTACATGAATATTGAATAAGGCCGATAGGTTGTATGAGAATGCAAATTAATTATTTGTGAAATTGTGTACAGTGTACACCTTGATAAGTTGATCATCATCTGATCTTGGCATGATGCTATTTGCTACCTATGCTATACAGTACTATAGTTTTTGGATTCGTTTAATACTTTCTGTCTTTTCGTACAGTAAATAAAGATTATAAAGTGTATGTTGAAACTTGAATGTAAATTAATGTTTAATTTCATTTGTTCATTTAATTATTTGTGTACACCTTGATCATCATCTGATCTTGGCATGCTATACCTTTTTGGAAAGCTCTATGAGCTCTATGTCTAAGCTACAAGACAACATATGAAAATTTTAGCTCTCTAGGTCTGTTTTTAAGGGTTTTAGAGCTCCCCCCACCCAAAAAAAAAGTGAAGCCAAATTCATATAATAAATGTTACCGGTTAGCGTTAGCTTCCGCTAATTTTTAGAGCTGTTTAGCGTTAGCGAAGTTAACTTTTTAGTTAGCAGATTAGCGGTTAACGAAGCTAACTTTTTTTTTCGCTGTGCCCACCACTGCTGACCACCAGATAGGACGGAGGTGGGGGTAGGACTGGCCAGTGGCCATTGCCGAGTCCCCCCCCCCCTCTTTTTTATTCATTACAGTACTGATACATTATAAAGATGAGTGCTATCATCTTTTTAATCTCCCCCCCTCCCCCAGGCCCCATTGTGGGTTGATGACCTTTGCCGGGATTGATTACTCCCCATATCTATCTAAAAAGATACAAAATAAATTATTCTCGACTTTTAGTATTAGGACAGTGGGCAGTTCCAATAACAATCTATGTCTACTCACCCTTATTCGATGTGTCCATGACTTGTTACTGGCGAACCCACTGTGACCGTCAAGACACTTAGTAGTGGTGGTGGGTGGTGTAAGGTAGTGGTGGTGGTAGGTGGTGAGAGGTAGTGGTAGTGATGGAAGTGTGGTAGTGGGTGGTGTAATGGTCAGCATCCTCGGCTCACAAGCGAGCGGACCAGGGTGCGATCCCTGGGCAAGGTGAAACTATGGACAAGTTTCTTTATGCCATTTGCCTGTCTACCCAGCAGTAATTGGGAACCTGGATGTTAATCGATTTGAGGATCGTATTCCGGGGTAATGGTTAGCCAGTGCAGTTGGCGAGTTGTCCAGTCTTCTCAGACTATTCCTTGACACTGGGTCATGCAGCTCGTTAACTTAGGGTGTGGTTGTTGTGTTGGCGACAGTTTTTACACCTTAAACAAATTCACGCCTAAGTAGCCCTTGGGCTGGCCATCCTCGTTACACAAGGGGCAACCATTATTATTAAGGTAGTGGTGGATATTGTGAGGTGGTGGGGTGGGGTGAGGTAGTGGTGGGTGGTGGATAGTGTGAGGTGGTGGTGTGAAGTAGTGGTGGTGATGGGAGTGTGGTGGTGGTTGGTGTGTGGTGGTGACGGGAATGTGGTGGTGGTGGTTGGTGTGAGGTAGTGGTGGTGGGTGGTGTGAGGTAGTGGTGGGTGGTGTGAGGTAGTGGTGGTGACGGGAATGTGGTGGTGGGTGGTGTGAGGGTGGTGGTGGGTGGTGTGAGGTAGTGGTGGTGACGGTGGGTGATGGTTGGTGTGGGAGCGTTGGTGAGTGGTGTGGAGGTAGTGGTGGTGGGTGGTGTGGAGGTGTGGTGGTGGGTGGTGGTGTGGGGTGAGTGGGGATGGGGAATGTGGTGGTGATGGTGGTGGGGAGTGGGTTGGTGTTAGGTGGTGGAGGTAGTGATGAGGTGGTGGAATGGTGTGGGGATGTGGGTGGTGGGTGGGTGGGGTGGAAGGGTGGTGTGGGACCAGGGAGGCAGTGGTGGTGTGGGGCAGTGGGGTGGTGGTGGTGTGATTGGTGGTGGTGGTGTAGTGTGGGGGTGGTGGGTGGGGTAGGGTGGTGGGAGTGGGTGGGGTGGGGGGTGGTGGTGGTGGGTGGGGTTGGGGTGGTGGTGGTGGTGGGGTGGGGTTGGAGGTGGTGGTGGTGGGGTGGGGTGGGTGGTGGTGGAGGTGGGTGGGTGGTGGTGGTGGTGGGCAGGTTGGGTGGGGTTGTGGGGTTGGGGTGGTGGTTGGTGGTGGGGGCAGGTGGTGGGGTGGGTGGCGGTGGTGGTTGTGGGTGGGGTGTGAGGCGGTGAGCGGTGGTGGGTGGTGTGGTGGGGGTGGGAGGCATGGGTGGTGTGGGGTGGTGGTGGTGGGTGGTGGGGGCAGAGGCAGTGGGTGGTGGGGGCAGTGTGGGTGGGTGGTGGGGAGGTGGTGGTTGTGGGTGGTGTGAGACAGTGGTAGAGTGCAGTGGTGTGGGAGCTAGGGTGGTGGTGGTTGGTGGGTCGTGGTGGTGTGGTGGGTGGGGTGGAAGTGGTGGTGGTGGGTGGTGGGTGGAAGTGGTGGTGGTGGGGGTGGGGTGGAGGCAGTGGTGGTGTGGGGTGGGGTGAGTGGTGAAGTGGTGGCGGGTGGGGTGGGAGGAATTGGGGGTATTGGTGGTAGGTGGGGTTGGTGGTGGTGGTGGGTGGGTGGGTGGGAGGTAGTGGTGGTGGTGGTAGGGTGGGTGGTGGTAGGTGGGGGTGAGGAGTGGTGGTGGGTGGGTGGGTGGGGGTGGGGAATTAGAGTGTGGTGGGTGGGGTGAGGTAGTGGTGGTGGTGGGTGGGGGTGGTGAGTGGTGGTGGTGGGTGGGTGAGGTAGTGTGGTGGTTGTGAGGAGGTGTGGGGTGGGGCTGGTGGTGGGTGGGGTGTGGTGTGTGGTGGTTGTAGGTGGATTGAGGTGGTGGTGGTGGTGGGTGGGGTGGGGTAGGTGGGTGGGGGTGTGGTGGTGGTGGTGGGTGTGGGGTGTAGTGGTGGTGGTGGGTGGGGTGGGGTGGTGGTGGGGTGTGTGAAATTAGTGGTGGTGGGGTTGGGGTGTGTGTGGTGGTTGTAGGTGGAGGTGAGGAGAGTAAGGTGGTGGGTGGAGGTGTGGGGAGTGGTGGTGGTGGGTGGGGTGTGGTATTGGTGGTTGTGGGTGGGTGAAGTGGTGGTGGATTTGTGAGGTGTGGCAGGGTGTGAGTGGGTGGTGGGTGGTGGGTGGGGGTGGTGTGGGAGAGGTGCGGTGGGGTGGGGTAGTGGTGGTGGGGTGGTGGTGGTGGGTGGGGTGGGTGGTGTGGTGGTGGGTGGGGTGAGGTAGTGGTTGTGAGGAGGTGAGAGGTGTGAGGTGGTGTGGGGGTGGTGGTGGTGGGGGGTTGGGTGGGGTGGTGGGGGTGGTGGGTGGGTGGTGGTGAGGAAGTGGTGGTGGTGGGGGTGGGGTGGTGGGTGGGGGTGGATTGGGGTGAGTAGGGTGGAGGTGTGGTGGGTGTGGTGGGGTGGTGGGTGGGGTGGGTGGGGGAGTGGTGGTGGGTGGGTGGAGGTGGTGGTGGTGGGTGTGGGGGTGGTGGTGGTGGTGGTGGGGTGGGGTGTGGGTGGGTGGGGTGGGGTGGTGAGTGGTGGTGGGGTGGGGTGGAGGGTGGTGGTGGTGGGGTGAGGTGGGTGGTGGTGGTGGGTGGGGTGGAGGTGGGTGGTGGTGTGGTGGGGTGTGGGTGGTGTGGTGGTGGGTGGGGTGGGTGGGGTGGGGTGGTGTTGGTGGTTGGGTGGGTTGATTGGTGGTGGTAGGTGAGAGTTGAGGTGGTGGTGGTTAGATTAGAGTTGAGATGATTGGTGGTGGTGGGTGAACGGTGGGGTAGTGGTGGTGGGTGGAGTTGAATTGGTGGTGGTGGAGTTGGGTGGGGGTGGTGGCTGGGTGGTGGGGTGGGGGTGGTCTGGTGGTGGTGGTGGGTGGTTGAGGCATTGGTGGTGGTGGGTGGGGGTTGGAGGCATTGGTGGTGGTGGGTGGGGTGAGGTGGTGGTGGTGGGTGGTTGGGGTGTTGGTGGTGGTGGTGGTTGGGGGTGGTGGTTGGTGGTGGTGGAGGTGGGTGAGGCGTTGGGGTTGGGAGTGGTGGTGGGTGGGGTGAGTATTGGTGGTGGTGGGGTTGGCCAGGGGTGGGAATTGGTGGTGGGTGGGGTTGAGGTGGTGGTGGTTAGATTGGGGAGTTGGGGGAAGTGGTGGGTGGGTGGGGAGGTAGGGTGGTGGGTGGTGGGGTGGTGGTGGTGGGGGGGTGGGGTAGTGGTGGTGGTGGGTGGGGGTGGGTGGTGGTGGGTGGGTGGGTGTGGTGGGTGGTGGGTGGGGTGGGGTGGTGGTGGGTGGGGTGGGGTGGTGGTGGTGGGTGGGGGTGTGGTGTGGGGTGGTGGGTGGGGTTGGTGGTGGTGGTGGGGTGGGGTGGGGTGGTGGGTGGGTGGTTGTGGGTGGGGTGAGGGGTGGTGGTGGTTGTGGTGGGGTGTGGTGGTGGGGTGGGGTGTGGGTGGTGGTTGGGTGGGTGAGGCAGTGGTGGTTGGTGGTGGTGAGAGGGTGTGTGAGGGTGGTGGTGGGGGGTGGCATTGGTGGTGGTTGGTGGGGTGAGGTATTGGTGGGTGGGGTGGAGGTGGTGGGTGGGGTGAGGGGGGTCGGTGGTGGGTGTAGTGGTGGTGGGGTGGAGGTAGTGGTGGTGGTGGGTGGGTGGTGTGGGGTGGGGGGGATTGGTGTGGTGGGGTGGTGGGTGGGTGGGGGTGGGGTGGTGGTGGTGGGTTGGTGGTGGTGGGTGGTGGTGTGGTAGTGGGGGTGGGTGGTGGTGGTTGTGGGGTGGGGTGTGTGGTGGTGGTGGAGGTGTGGTGGGGAGGCGGTGGTGGTGTGGGGTGGGGTGGTGGTGGGGGTGGGGTGGGTGGGGTGGTGGGGTGGAGTAGTGGTGGTGGGTGGGTGGGGGTGAGGTAGTGGTGGTGGTGGTGGGGTGGTGGTGGGGGTGGTGGTGGTGGGTGGGGGTGAGTGTAGTGGTGGTGGTGTATTGGTGGTGGTGGGTGGGGGTGAGGTATTGGTGGTGGTGGGTGGGGGTGAGGTATTGGTGGTGGTGGGTGGGGGTGAGGTATTGGTGGTTGTAGGTGGGGTGAGGTAGTGGTGGTTGTGAGAGGTGTAAGGTAGAGGTGGAATACTCAGGAGTGATTATGTACTCTTGCTCGCTCCCACTAGCAGTGTACCTCACCCCATCCACCCTTGCTACCTGGTTGTTAACAAGGATGACTTGTGGGCCTCAGGGCTGAAGAAGTGGGAAGCAGTAGGCCCTCTCGTACACCAGCAAGGTTGAAATTTTGAAGAAACTCGAAGCTGGGATGAGGATATGTAACATAGCACACCTTTATAAAGTCAACGAATCCACCATCAGAACAATCAGGAAATACACGGGAGAAAATATTGTCTGCTGTCCACGCCAACCACCTGGAGATTCAAAAATCTGTGCCTGTTACCCAAAGTCATTATAGAGTAAAGGTCTGGCGAGTCCAGTATGATATAGTGATTTTAACATATGTTAAATGGTATCGCTTGTGTGGACGTGTACCAGTATGATATTCCCACGCAAGATGAGACCCCTCTGTACAGTATTGGATTCAATCACTTTTTCATTTGAGCAGCTATCAAGCAGAGAGGTACTACCGCCGAGGAAGATATTGGAAGCATAATGTGATGCCTAATGGTAGACCCTGCTGCCATATAGCACCACAAAAATTGTGACCAAGTCCCAGGTTGTTGATCTGACTTTCTGCCTCATTTACACACAATTACAGGGTCTCAATTGTTTCTCTCACTTTTACAACACAACTTTTTTTATGGTTTCTCACTCTCGATTTTTTTTCAAGTATATTTATGGCTTATTATTATTATTATTGCTATTATTATTATTATAATTATTATTATTATTATTATTATTATTATTATTATTATATCCACCCACCCAAGGCCCTGATGTGGGTCAGTGACCCATGCCCAAGTGGACTAATTCCCATTAAAAAAAATGTTAAGCCCTTTGCAGTGACAGGGGTAATCAAAGGTTGAAATGACTCCCACAACTGACTTATAATTTCAACAAACATTACAATAGTGTAACAAATCGTAAGTTGCTAACCGGTGCTTCATGCAGTGTAGAACTTTAAACAAGCTACTAACACCAAATATAAACTCTCCAAACTTACAATTCCATGAAGTAACCTTAGAAATTAATTATATTTTCTGGTTACAAATTGTAACCTTTACAGAAATTACAAAAACCAACCTTGTACTCCTCAGTGCTCTAAGAGAAAGATTGTGATTGTGGAGATGTGAAAGCAGCTCATCGAGGCCTTCAACACTCCATACAGCTGAAGTTGTTTTGACACACAACCGAGCACGCTGCCAGAACTAAAGAGCAATAATAACAATAAAGTTCTTCAATATTGATAACAGAAAACACATGTATAAAAGGTCCTTCCAGTATAGTCAACATTCTATGTAAATATCATTAATGAGATACTGTAAAGTACTGTATATGCTTCAATTTATGATCACAAGAAATATTACTCAAGAATATAATCTACACGTAAAGCCCGGTTCAAACTACCCCTTTTTGTTCAATGCTCTCAATGCGACGTCAGCAAATGCTACCTTGGTATGTTAATTCCTAGCCAATTCGCCAGGCCAACATACAGGCAATTAAAACATCTAATAATTACTTAATAAGTAATATTAGAAGGACACGTCGCTACCTGGCATTTAATGGCTATTTTCAAAGTCCTTCCTCCATCCAGCTACCATGCGCCCTGCGAACCTCATCTCTTGCCTGGCGATTCAGCTATAATAGACACAAAGGGAAGTTCCGCGAATTTGTGTTCTAATTGCTGAAATACTCACCTCCGCAAGGATATTATATACGGTATTTGTATTTAATAGCACAGTGATGAAGTAGAGTGACTTTTATTTTGTTATGTCTCTCAATTATTGTATTTGGGACATTTTCTTATACGACTTTGGGTCAGCATGGCGACCAAAACACATTTTCTTTCTGAGTCGTTTAGATCGTTGTGACTATCCCTTGCTTTTAAGTCACTCGGTGAATGTCGCTGCGCCCTCCCGGGCTCGTCTTCACTAAAAGAGAATTTGTGAATATATCCATTTATATATACTGTATACATATATATGTGCAGTTGGTCCTCATATTACGCGGTTAATGTAACCCGGAGGGTACCGCGGAAAGTGAGAAACGCGTAAAGTGAATAACATAACATATGGGATTAATTGAAATGGAGTCCGGGCCGATCCCCAAACTCCACTTTTTGACGACACACAACTATGTTGTAGTAAAAATATTATCTTAACTTTATGATGGCATGCACACACAATTAATAATTAAGAGAAATATCAATAATATTAGGTTTTTTAACACTTACATTAGTAGAAAAGATGGCTGGGCACACGGGGATGGGCGGTTGGTTCCGAGGCAGAGGGCAGATTATTGGCCCTCACCTGTATCACTTGTATCAATTGTATCACTATCCACCACAGAGGCTTGCAGGGCCTCTTTGTCAAACCCCCCAAAGTTCATATAAGTCCATATCCTCACTATAATTATCACTATCACTGACTTGGGCCGGCTGTAGTGGGTGGCGGGTGAAGAACTGGTCATGTTTTGATGACTGGGCGACCTTGTGCGCACCATTTTCGCGCCTCTTACACAACATGGCGGATGGCGGGAGGTTTGGATCCAAAAATGGCGCGGCTTGCCAGCCGCTCTCCGCGTAATGGGGTTCACGACCGCGGAATGTGAAAATGTTAGGTTCTGGCAAGGCACCGCGTTAACGGTGAAACGCGGAATGCGGGACCGCGTAATATGAGGACCAACTGTATATTGTTTACGATCTCTTTGTCCCAATTATTCATGTGCTAATATGAATACCATGACTATCTCTCTCCCTACTCTTATGTACGTTCACAAAACCTTTGGGCTTCCGCCCTTGGGTTTCTATTTGTTCTCAGCAAAAAGGCCAGAGTTGAGTTTGTCTCCTCATAACTTTGATGTCCTCAGTAGCGGGTTCAAGCGAACTTTAGCGAGGCTGCTAGACTCAGCGTTCCTTCCGGAATGTTGACCTTCCGGTCTTACTAGCAATCTAGAGTAATGTTGAAATGGACTTTACACCTTCTATGGGTTATATGAGACCAATTCAGGGTGGAATTCTCAACCGAATAAACATTGCTAGAGTAACAGTGAACTTTGCTACCAATAGAGCGCTATGTTAGCGGCTCAGCACTGTCAACCCTGCTGGGTGATAGTGCGCACGTAGGAATTTTCCTTTAAGTGTTTACTTGGGGATAATTTCTGTGCCCCTGATTGGCAACAAATAAAGATCTTGATGATCCCTCTCAATAAATGTTCTGAATGAAATTATTTTATAAAAACAAATTTAAATAAATAAGTTTCATTGAGCTAAGGGATACTTGATAAATAAGAGTCGAGGGACAGATACGAAATAGTGAGTTATTGTTTATGTTGGTCATTGGAGTGACTTGTATAACACTAACTTACAAATAATATAACATTTATGAGTCATATTGATTAAGTTTGGGAGAAAATGCTTTCTCCCTTATTAATTATTATTATTACTTTGTGTTATAATGATATAATGTGACTCATGGTATCCTCCTAGTTCAGATGAGTGATGTTCAACTGGAGGATGAAGGTCAGGACTCCGGGCCTATGGATAATGGAGGAGACAATGGAACTGTCCCTGAGGAGATACTATTGAGTGATGAGCTACAAGGACTAGAAAGTTCAGCTCAGGCACTACATTCAAGGAATTGTCTGTCAGTAGAGAATTTGAATTCAGTAGTAGGAGTTTCACCCAAGACCCAAGGGGGCCATACTACATGTACTTATAAAAAATGTACAGTGACTTGGATTACTAAGATAGATCCTCATGTGGCTTTGCATACTTCATGGCAGCTGTGTCTCAAATAACTTATTTTCACCAATGGATTGTGCAGTTTGTTATGATCAAATTTTTCAATTTCATCAAGCTACAGGTGATAAGAAAGATTTATTGCAATTACAAATTAAAAATAGGTGGAATAAGGCCTTGAAGAGTAAATTTTTGAATGTACAACAATGGAAAGATCCCAAGTTGGCAGAAAGTTTAGGTTTATTGGTGTTAAGTAAAAGACTTAATCCCCACTTAGACAAGACTGCTTCTGCTAAGAAAAATAAGTTATTGGACCCTCCAGACAATGGGGCAATGGGAAGTCTTCAAAAACCTCTATCTACTCAGTCTGATTTCAGTGGATTCCAGGATCAGGACGATGAGCCTGGTTCTAGTCATAGTATCCAGTCTCTTGAGCAGGAAGAACCTGTTGAGACTGATTTCATCCTACCCACATCTTGGCAATCACTTCCACCTGGGACAAAAGTGTTGGTTACTGCGAGTGGAAACAGGCTGCTGTCGACTGAAACTCAGTTGCTGGATAATATTGAGTGTAAGGTTGATTCTAACAGGCCATGGATAACATTGGTAAGAGCTAAGTCTTCTTTGTTCACTAATCCATCTGAATCTGTGGATTCCTTATTCAAGATATTTTATGAAAATGTCTCTAAGCTTCCTGATATCTCAGCAACTACAAAGAGAGAGGAAGGACATGCAACTTTGGGTCATCATTCTTTGTTTTTGGAGGGTGATACTACACTTTCTTGGCCTGATATTTGCCCAAAGATGATCTCTGAAATAGACGAAGTCTGGGCTAATTTATTGAAAGACTTAACATTCATTCCCACTGACAGGAATGCTCTCAAGTTTAGTTTTTTGAAGTTCCAATTTAATGACGAAAAGAGTTCCTTATATGATCTTTCCCAATATTTGTCAGCTTCAAAATATGTTGATATAAGCTATAAAAAAAATTTGAAACCAGTTGCCCCTGCACTGATGCTTGAAGAATTTAAAACTAGGAAATTGGCAGCAGATGTTTGGTCTGCAATTATGATGTGTCAGTTATTAACTAAATTTGTGCTGGACTATGAAGAAAATTCAGAAGTGGACAAATGTTTTGCTGCTGCTTTACAAGGAATCCCATATTCCCTGTACAATTCATTCTTAGATCATTTGTTGAAGCCCTAAGACTGAAAGTCCATCTAAGGAAACTAGCAACAAATAATGCTTCAAGTGGTAGCGCTAATTTGTTAATACGTTCTTCTCCTCCTCCTCCTGCTTTGTTTAGTGAGCAATCATTGATTAATTATAGATCATCCTTGGAGAATACTATTAATATTAATGTCCCCAGGAGTCCTCAGACCTTTCGGAAACCTAGGAGAGGAAGGTTTTACAGGGGAACAGGACCAGCTGCCCGGATCAGTTATCAACCAAGGGAAAATTTTAGAGGAGGAAATAATCAAAGAAGTAATAGAGGTGGCCGTTTTTTCAGAAACGGAAGGAAACCTTATTCCACCACCTCAGCAACTTCCCCCTTCCAATGAAGCCAGACAACTGGGTCGTCTAGGGCAGGGGTCACCAAACTTTTTTCACAGTGGGCCGGATAACTGAAAGAATGACGAGCGCGGGCCGCATAATCATTCTGTTCAATACTTGCAAGCCAGAACGAAAGCTCTGGTAACATCAGAGCATAGGCGGAGCTACCACGAGCCGGGGAAGGACTTGGGATCCGGCCCGCGGGCCGTAGTTTGGTGACCCCTGGTCTAGGGGGTTGGGAGAACAGATGGACTTCTTCCATATGGGCTTACAAAATAATCAAAGGGGGTCTCACATGGACTTGGTTGAGGCGCCCTCCCCTAGCATTCCCAAAGAAGGGTGAAAAACCAACCCCATTACTTACAAAATTTGTAAGTCAACTACTAAACAGAGGTGTCATAGAGCCGTTGCAGTCAGAGAAATGTTTCATGTCTCGCCTATTCCCAGTCCCCAAGAAAGGCAGCGACAAATTAATATGGATTTTGGATCTTTCAATCCTAAACAAATTTATTCCCAAAAGAAGTTTCAAGATGCTCACTTACGACCATCTGAGGCGTCTGCTTCCGCCCAATGCTTGGATCTCAAAAGTGGATCTCGAAGATGCCTATTATCACGTTCCTGTTGCTCCCAGGAACAGAAATTTTCTGGTGTTCAAAGTAGGGGAATTAAGTTATCAATTCACAGTGATGCCATTTGGTCTGACAATTGCACCAAAAGCCTTTACAAAACTGGCAAATATTCCCAGAAAGATCCTTGCAAAGGAGTGCATTAGAACCTTTGCTTATCTAGACGATTGGCTGATAATGGGAAACTCTTTCGAAGATTGTCAAAGGGCGACACAACGTACACTAGTACTATTTCAAAACCTTGGTTTAAAGATAAACCAGGTAAAATCAAACTTAATACCA